CTCGGCTGGGCAGGGGGTCGGGGGGGTCGGGTGCCGGGTGCCCCCGTGGTGGCCCTTGACCATCCCCACGCTGCTGGGGACCCCCACGGAGGAGCAGTGGCCGGCCATGGCCAAGCTGCCGGACTACAAGGTGAGGAGGGGGCCGGGGGGAGCTGGAGGGGGTGCCGGGGGGGCCGTGGGTCACCTGTGTGTCCCCAGCCCTACCCCATGTACCCGGCCACCACCTCCCTGGTCAACGTGGTGCCCAAGCTGAACGCGACCGGCCGGGACCTGCTGCAGGTGAGACCCCGCCCATACCCCCCTCCAACCTCTGTCCCCCCTGCCTGTCCCCCTGCCCTTGCCACAGGGCTTCTGGCTCCCCAGGGCTGGTTGCCCTCTCCCCTCACAGCCCCCCACCCATCTGAGGGGGGCAGTGGGACGGGGGGGCTGTGGATGGGGAGTGTCTGTGCTCTCCTCCCTCAGCCCCCCCGTGTCCCCCAGAACCTGCTCAAGTGCAACCCGGTGCAGCGGATCTCGGCAGAGGAGGCCCTGCAGCACCCCTACTTCACTGACTTCTGCCCGCCCTAGGGCCCCCCAACCCGCCCTGGCTCCCTCCCCCTTCCAGGGAGGGTGGCCCCCAGCCCCCCTCGGCCGGGTGCCAACCCATGCCAGCCCCCCCAAACTGCAGCGTCCCCCCCCGGTATTTATTAGGTTCTGCCCCAGCTGCAGGGGGCTGGCATGGTGCCCCCAAACCCCCTGGCCCTGGAGGAGACTGAGGGCACTCAGACCCCCCCCGGTGGCACAGGACCCCCCTGGGGGCAGGGGACCCCTCCAGGGCATGAGAGCCCCCCGAGGACATGGGGCCATGATGCTGGTGGAGGGACAGGACCCTCTGGGACCAGGCATGGGGACCCCGCGGGTGGTGGGACCCCCACCCCTCTTGTCCCTGCTTCCCCTCAGCCCCTTCCCTGCCTGGGGGGGGTTCTGGATACAGCCCCCCTGGGGGGGGGCGGGGGAGGACCCCATTTCTTTTCTAGGGCACTGCTGTATGTGGATGATGTGCGATTGGAACCCCATAAAGAGCTTTCCCCCCCCCCTCCCAGTGCCGCCTTCTCCTTCCTGGGGTGTCAGGGACCCCCCTCTGCCACATGACGGACACCCCTCTCAACAACCCCTGCCCCCCCAACCCACCCCTGTGACCCCCCCAGTGCTGCCCTCTCCTTCCTGGAGCAGCCGTGTCCCCCCACCCCCCCCCAGCAGCCCGGAGCCGGGGCCTGGGGCACCTCTTTTATTTGGGGGGCTGCAAGGGGGGGGGTCCATGTCCAGCGCGGGGGGGGCACAGGCAGCGCATGCAGGGTCACGGGAGCGGGGCTGGGGGGGGCCCCTTGCCCCCAGCCCCCCGACACCCCCTCAGGGGGTGGGGGGGACCAGGAGGCTGCCCCGTGGCCCGGGGGTGCCCCCCCAGCCCCCCGGCCGGCGGGGGGGCGGGCTGGGCTCCGCGGCGGGTCCCGGGGGGGCCCTAGAGCCGGGTGACGAGGTAGCAGGTTCGGGGCGACG